TAACAACAGAAGACAAGGGCCAGGCAACAGATCGTTTATTGCGGAAATCAGCACGTATTTATATATATATTTCATGTACGTTATTATAGCTTATTCAAGCAGACAAACACAGTCTTCTGATTGATTGTTTCTTGCTCAAGGTTATTCTGTACTGCTTGTGCCTGGTTTCTCAGAAAGTTAAGCCATGTATCTGAGAATCGTATTTGTCCACGTTAAGTTTGCTGCGATTGGTTGTTGAATCAGTCTTGTTCATATTTTCTCACGGCCAATATTAGCGACCTAGACATTGACGTAAATTAATGTCTACCAATTGGCTAACAGCCTGCTCTCACCACAATATAACAAAGGACGGTTTACCTAGTAAATTTCGTACACTAAACAGAAGCTGGTTCACTTCAGACAAGTATCATGTCGGCGAACAGAAGAAAACATGGAAAATCAGTGTGGTTTGAAAACAGAGGATGAAAGTCAGTTGATTGAGACTTTCTTCAGTATTTAATCTAACAATTACAACTCAGCAGCAGCGCACATAAAGAAGGAACAATATAGTGATTAGCAGTTAGTAAAGTTTGACTTGTAATAGCATGTTACTCATTAAGAATGCAACTAATCTTTTTTTAAACTGACATTTCCTCCAACCTAGTAGAAATCCTACAAAGTACGCTAGAAAATGTACCAAATTTGGCTTCTCATCAAATATGCCGTCGAAAACCTAAAATATCCTGAACTGGAAGCGACAAAAGACATCCAGAATAGCTATTCATTGAACCTAATTCATTTACTGCCAGTAATGTATATCTACTACTTGCATAGCGTTATCATCTTTTTCAGCTTATAAGTAGCGCACTTCTCTTTGTAAAGTCTTATCGCCCTTTTTGCTGAAGGTCACATCTAGGAAGGAAATTCCATTGTCTCCTACCTCTTCCATATAAAGAAAAATTATTATTTCCTTTAATTCCTAGAGGAACATAGGGCTTCAGCCACGAGCCTCCATTGCGTTCGGTTCTCTGCCAACGTTTTCACCTGGCTCCAAGTCTGCCCACATGCTTTCATCTCCTCTTCACATGACCTTCTCCATGTCACCCTTGCACTGAAGACCAACTCGCCGCTTCCCTTTCGGGTTCCACTCGAGCAATGGCTTGTCTAGTGATGTCACTTGATGGTTAGTTTTCTCAGAGTATGGCCAATCCATCTCCGTTTCTTCCTGCCTATTTGTTTCACAATCGGTTCCTGGTTGGTTCGCTCATTACCAGAGGTCCTTGTTGCTGATCTTTTCTGGCCGACCATCTGATCTTGAGTGGTATTGATATAAGACGGCTGTTGATGAAGGTCTGTAGTTTGTTTGAGGTGGTCTTTATGACGCGCCAATTCTCACATTGGAGTTGAAAATCCTGATCTTATTTATAAAGAAAAATACGCTGATCAAATTGTAAATTATAACAACAGTTACCCGATAACCGATAATAAATCTTGTGTTAAGACACTATTTTCAAGAGCAAAAGCCAATAAAATGAAGAGTTTTTACGAAAATTTCAAGACAAACTACATACACAGAATGTTGAAAGCAAATCACTTTTATCATAACCTCATCAGAAAGTGCTTATCAGCTGAACATAAAATAATGTCATTACTACTGTAGTGAGAGCTGGCTGCTAGCCTAATTGGTAAACAGTAATTGACGTCAGTGTATACGTCCCCAATATTGGCCGTAAAAAAAATAAAAAGAAAGACTGACTCAACAACCAATCACAACAGACTTTGCGTAGGCGGATACAATTTGCAAACAGATAATCTGAACCTCAATAAACGGCCAAAAAGAGATGCAAGGTCAACTTTCTGGGAGAAACAACCAATTAGAAAACTGTGTTTGCTTGAATAACCTATAATAATGTACATGAAAATCTATAAATATGTGTTGATTTCCTTAATAAACGATCTGTTTCCTGGCCCTTGTCTTCTGTTGTTACACTACGACTGAACAAGATCTACACCAAAGGTCTGTCAGAATCTATCAACCGATTACTTTGTCCACTTGGAATTGTGGTTGTGTAGAGATTCATAAAATTTTTACAAAACTTACTTTATCAGTCGATAGACTCATTGTTGGAAACAAACAAAGCAAAGGTGGTTTACCAAGTTAGCTGTAAAGACTGTCCAGAATACTCTGTTGACCGATTCGATCGCTGTATTGGTCGAATCAGTTAACAGTAAGAAGATGCATGCAGATGATTTTACGCGTAACTTCAGCTGGCAACAAACAGACAGAAAAAATAGTTCGTAGAAGCCCTGCATTCAAATGAAACTTCCGTCAATGGGGATGTAGACATAGATCCAACATACAGCCTACTCCGAAAGTGAAATATATTCTCCAAGAAAGGTGAAACGAAACTAGCGAATTAGATCAATAGTAAAATGAAACGACACAGTTAAGAAGAATCAGCCTCACTTTGTGCAATAAAATATAAGTTCAAAAGGTTAGAAAACAGAATTACCTTTCCTTACTTACGGCTGGATAAGAAGAAGAAAAGGAATGACTGGATATTCATGCTAGCTGCAAATATGTTTTACTTCTTGAGGGAGTTAGTGTTAAATCTGTCATCAGGTGTGGCAACGCGATATCTACAACTAAATGTCAAAACTTGGGGAACATCAGACAGTTTTGTATCATCATTCAGATCTATAAATCTCCATCGTTTTAAACCTTAAATTTCTCTATGTATTTACATTAATGCCAAATGAAGATTACCCTCTGATTCCTCATGATGAGGAAATTTAAAATTCACATTACTTGCGATAGTGGTAGGAATCGTATACAACACTATATTTCCTTATTGATTCTTAGGATGAGAAATATTGGTTTAGAGAAGATAAAAATGTAGATTTAGCGTTTAGCACATTCTGTCTTACCTAGAACCACCACCCCCCCTATTTGGCAGTTATAAAGAATTTTTTAGATATCATTTGGATTTACCTCGCTAAGCCAGAAATAATGCTGGTAAAGAGGAAAGGTTGAGCATGAGGCTAGCAACCCCATCTTGTAAAAATAATCACCACTGCTACAGAAACTTCAAGCCACTAGCTTGAAGCCCTATGTTCCACTGAGGAACGTGAAGGAAAAAAATTTCGATTTTAAGTAACTTACTGCATAATAGGACTGTACTAATAAACCAGTGCACCAACTATCAGAAATCTCGACTTTTTCTTTACCATACTTCAAGATGAGAATCCTTTAGAGTATCCTCTTTCTCTTGGGCATTTCTTCTCCTAACCCTGTTAGGGGAACATACTCTCCTAACTCTATTATAGAGTATCCTTAGCAGTCCACGTTTATAGCTTACAGAATAAAAGCTGTTGTAGTGAAGATAGTGTCCGCTCCAAGTTTTTTTTCTACGGATGGACTTTTAGATCGTATTATCATTTCTTCTCACATTCAGGAAACTAAATTATTATCAAAATTACTCTCACCACATACTACCGTCATCAGTGTAGCTAGGAACTGTCTTCATACATACTTTCATTTTATATGAATAATTGGAACACTTATTTTATTTTCGTACTTGAAGGGCTCTAAGGTTTTGGTTAATATTTTTTAATCAGATATTTATTATTATATTATTGTTTCCTTTAGTTCTTAATGGAACATAGGGCTTCAGCCAAACGTCTCCATTGCGTTCGGTTCTCTGCTAAAGTTTTCACCTGGTTGCACGTCTGCCCACATGCCTTTGTCTCCTCTTCACATGACCTTCTCCATGTCACTCTTGCAATGACGGCCAACTCGCCGCTTACCATTCTGGTTCCACTCGAGCGATGGCCTGGCGTGTGAAGCCACTTGATGGTTAGTTTTCTCAGGGTATGCCCAATCCAATCCACCTCCACTTCTTCCTGGATATTTGTTACACAATCGGTTCCTGGTTGGTTCGCTCATTGCCAGAGATCCATCCTTGTTTCTGATCATTTCTATCCGGCCATCTGATCTTGAGTGATATTGATATAAGACAGCTGTTAATGAAGGTCTGTGGTTTGTTTGAGGTGCCCTTTATGATGCGCCAAGTCTCTGATCCGTATAGCGAGTAGCACTGACTTCGTATTGGAGTTGAAAATCCAGATCTTATTTTTCATGCTGAATGCTGTTGACCTCCACACAGACTTAAGAGTAATGAAAGCTTGCCTTGCTTTCTCGATCCTCCCTTTGATATTCTCATCAGTTCCGTCCGCCTGTAGTTGAAACGATGCTTCCCAGTTCGGTAGGTAGGTAGAGGAGGCTGCTACTTTCAGATTTCTCCCATTTATATTTATTGCTGTTGGCCAGGACTCTTCATCACCTCTGTTTTCTCTATGTTCACCTGAAGGACTATCTTTTCTGGATGTTTCTTCTGCCAACTTGTTGCTTTTCACTTGCATATCTTCCAATCAGATATTTAAATTTCGCTAAAATTTGAATATTCTCTTAACCAGTCCTTATACCCATCTTCTTACTATTTTTAAATAATTATTCACTGTTCTGTGCTAGCTACCCTTTCAAAATAGAGGCAATTTAATTATTGATAAACATGCGTTAATAAAGACAGACACTATCACCTCTTGTTTTATACAAAACAAGTTGTTATTATTATTATTAATATAATTCTCAGTCTTTCACTGTTGAATTTTAGATTGAATTGATTGGTGAAAATTGTCTTGTTGCTTAAATCCTCTTCTATTTAATTTTATGAAATAATTATTCTAACATGTTCTACTTGAGATACTTAACTTTACAAATAACCAACCAATATATATATATATATTCAGCAAAACGTGTTTCTCTTTTCTGAGACCCCTTGATAACATGAAAGTGGTTGAAATATAATGGATTGATCAATGTGATTGATAGTGAAATTCATCTCATATATAGATATATATTCTTTAAAACTTAATGAGACAATATCATGTTTGCCTATTTTTAAGGAATTACTACATTCCTTTCAATCAACTTTTCCAAGTTTTTAGAGATTGCATAACAACATTTTAATCTTACTTTCAATTTTGTCTATCAATTGACAAAAGAAAGAAAGTATTCTAGCTAAGGAATAAGTAGTTAAGTTGAGAGAGTACACATGAATAATCCTTTAATAAAAGTCGAAGAAGTAAGCATTTACTTTATCCTGTCATACATCTTAAATATTGATTATTAATACGTAGATTTTTAAATGAATATCGACCTTTAAAGTAGAATTAATTGCGCAAAAGTAAATAAAAAAGAAACTATTCTACATGTAACATTATTATTTCTGTAAGTTTGCCATATTTAAAAAAGAAAGGAAAGAGAAGAACTCAGCGAATTCGAGTTTCATCACCACAACGATGTATTTTTTGTTCTTTTGTTTTGTTTTGTGAGATAGATTCCTCGAAAGTGACTAATTTCAGGCAATAAAGGAGAGAAACAGAAAAAAAAGCAGTAGACTAATGCAAAAATATCAAGACACTGAATTACAAACAAATGACAATTTAACAGAAATGTGATAAGGAGATGAATTTATTATTCGAAAGTAAAGCTTAAGAAGTAAAACTTGTTTTACAGTAAAAATGTACAATTAATTAACATACATAAAATTGTCTAGTCTCTATCTATCTATCTATCTATCTAAGATAGATATATAAACATGAATATTTTTAAACAAAGAAAGCAAAGGCAATTCGATATTGTTATGCTGGAGATTATTTCCCTATGGAATGTGATTTTCTTTGTGTGTGTGCATGTGTAACTAATTGTAGACAGGTAAACTGTGTTTGTGTATACAAAAAGGTAGTTGAATGTGACTAAAATTTTATTGGGGTACACAGTACAAGTTGGTCGTTGAGATGTTTACAACAATTGAAATTGACCATGTGGGAAATGCATCTAAATAGTGTTTGTTGGTCAAAGAAGTTTTATTATTATATGAAAATGTGAACACATTCTTGTGTTGGTTACAAAGCAGACAAACATATACATTTTGTTTATTTATATATTAGCAGCATAGGCAAAACAAATGGATACATGTAGGAAAGAAAAGATTGGAAGTTGAGAAATAGTTTAACAATAACATTTGTAATAGTAATGATAATTAGTTGTTGTAATGCTTCGACTGTCTATAATTAATGACTTAATCCATCCATCTCTATGAATAGCTCCGTAGTATAGCTTTATTCATAGAGTTTTGTATTCTAAGGCGTACAATATAAATGTTTTATGCATGCTATAAGCTGTTGCATACATGATGTTTTAATTTCACTGCCTCTGTTCCCTTGTTTCTACATCAATCATGAAGTGGAAAGGTACAAACGGTGATAAGTGTTGTTTTGATATTCTGATTGCATTGAATGCGTTTTCATAGACCATGGATTAGCTAAATTCATGCCATCGGAATTAACAAGTGATGAATCTAAATGAAATGAAGATTTATTCCATGCATTAGGCCCTAATAAATGAGAAAGGAAAAAAAACAGGAAGTAAATATTGAATGAATGAATGATAAGTGGTTATATTAAAGAATGATGTTACAAGACATATAAGCGAACAATATTGTTTTCAATTAGATCTTCAGGCTTTACTCTAATTTAAATAGATTTATATATATATTTTTAACCAGTGACGGTGATTCTGTGGTACAAATAATAATGATACTAATAATGTGGTAAACGTTTTGAACGTAATTAGTAACGATGATTATTTTCCCTCACGTTCCCCAGTGGAACATAGGGCTTCAAGCTAGTGACTTGAAGTTTCTGTAGCAGTGATTATTTTACAGGATGGGTTTGCTAGCCTCATGCTCAACCTTTCCTCTTTACCTGCATTATTTCTGGTTTAGCGAAGTAAAGGAGTTCGTCGGCCGGGGATCGAACCCCGGACCATGTGCGTGGTCGGCGAGCGTCCTAACCGCTATGCCACCGACGCAAACGATGATTATAATGATAACAAAATATTGATAATGAGATTTATGCAGGTGGCGATAAGGATAACAAAGGTAGTAATATGTGTATATGTAGACAATTCAATAAATAAATTAGGTCAAATCTTAGTAGTTACGTAATACTAAAGGTAGGTGAAGTGGACAGATAATCAGAGTTTAAATAAATATCATAAAAGTATGAAGGAGATGAAAGATAAGAAACGGTGGGAGGGTTTTGAATAGAATTCACCTACGCCAAGGGAGAGACAAAGGTAGAACAAACTTCTTTTGTATGTGAAGACTAGGATTGTTTTCTCGAATTCCCATAGCTTCGGCTAAGTGTAAAAGACGGGTTTTGATTCCGTTCGAAAGACTCGATGGAATACGATAAATAACTTTGAAAGCACTATTTTTGTCCACTTGGTGACCACTATCAATCAAATGAGCCGAAATAGAACTACGTATGGATTTTATTTGACCTTTTCCGAACCATGAAGGAAGATGCTCATTAATGCGTTTGTTAAGCTGTCTAGTTGTTCGGCCTATATAGCTCTATCCACACGAACAACTAAGTTTATAGAAGCACATAGAAGTAACACAGCTAAGTAGCTTGTCTTTCACTTGAGCAATCATAATTGGCCGGCTGGAAAATGATAAACAGAGGGTGGCGGCAGTATAAGTCGGTTTTATCGCTCTCGATAATCTCAGATGTAAGACTTTGGTAGCCACGTCCCCATTAAATAACAATTTCATGAACAGTTGTTTCTTTTCAACTGTTGTCAGTTTCTCTTTATTGTACTTGGTGTTCGTGTGTCTCCTTACAAATCTACCAGGATAACCCATTTGGACCAGCGTATTTTGGATGTATCCTAACTCATGTTACAGACAACTGTCTATTTAAGAGAATTAAATTCGTATGATTTCAAGAAATCTCTCCCTCTTGGCATAAACCCGAATCCACTGCTGTCTTACTTTACAAACTGAGGTGTGATCTGATTCTAGTCAGTTCTTGTGATTCTCTTACTTTTGGTTATACTGTCGGATAGACTACTTAGCATAGCCTTGAAATGAAAGACCGCTGTTGATATAATATGCAATAACCAAAGATTAAACTATATTCTTGGTCATTGTATGATTTAAGACAGCTACATTCGGATTGATATCCCGACATTCTATCAGCCAATTTGCGAGACTTATCTGCTAACCAGGTCACTATTTCCCTGGATTCACTTCTTAGGAAACTTTGAATCTCAGCTTCATGATTACTGGTAATCATTAGAAAAGTGTGTCTGAAATCACTCGGTGACCATATTCTATCTATAACATCAAATCCGTAATGAATAAATTTTGTGCCACTCAGAGCTGATTTCGTCTTTGAATTAAATTGTACAGCTTACGAGTCTTGAAAAAACAATTCTCAAATTTACTAAAATAACAGATCTGATGACAGTTTAATACATCTGATAAATGAACGTTGAGGAACACTCCTCACGAATATACGAATGACGCGAAATACTTGGTTCTTCGAAATATTTATAAGAATTGTAAAATTTAATTTTGTCCTTTAATTAACCCTCGTGATATTCTGAAATGTTCTAAATCAACCCAACTTCTTATGAGTCGTCAGTCGAGATGAAATATATCTACCGTTCTGAGTGAAGGTGGTGTAGATCTGCTGCCTGGAGAGAGAATTTTTGACCTCGAGTATGCAGACGATATCGTCTTACTGTGCAATGGCATGCAGGCTGACCGAATCGCACTTAATCAATCGGCGATCAATGTCTGTAAGTATGGTATGTGCTTTATGCCGTCTAAGTGCAAAGTACTCTTGCAAGATTGGTAGGAGCCTGTACCTGCACTCACTCTTGCAGGTGAACCGCTTGAAGTTGTTGATAAGTTTGTGTATTTGGGTAGTTGTGGTGAGTGCTGGCGGAGGGGTGACGGATGAGATTTCCAACCGTGTCATGAAAACTAGCGTGGCATACGTTAACTTGGACCACCTCTAGTGACGTTTGGCCTGGCTGTCAAAGGTCTGGTATGCAGTGCTCTGGTGGGGCTGTCTTGCTCTACGCCTGTGGTTCCTGGTCTCTTCGAGGTGAAGGTGTGCTACGACTCCGCATATTCGTTCATCGCTGTCTGCGCAGGATTGCGTTCGATGGCATCATCGCGTGAGTAATCCTGAGGTCCGATGGCGTGTGTATTGTCATTTGGAAACACCGGCTTCGGTGGCTGGGACATTTGCTGCAAATATCATTCCAGAGGCTTCTGTACAGGTCTCTGTTCACTACCCCTGAAACGGAATGGAAAAAGTGGAGAGGTAGTCAGCCCATGACTTGGTGTCGTGGGATGAAGGATATTGTGTTAGGTTACCATTGGTTGGTGAGTCACGACTCCCTGGTTGGAGTCCGAGAGATAGCTAGAATCTGTTTTTTTAAAATTCAAATGGGGAGTAAGTTGCCCCATCCCGTGCGCGAGAAAAGAAAAAAGAAAGAAAAAAAAAAGAAAAAGGAGCAGAGGGTGAGAAAAGGAGTAATAAAAAAAAAAAAAAAATTCATTTGAGATATAAATCACAGGGAGGGGTGATCTGCGCCCCCGAGAACGATTTGAGCCATGTCACCAATTTTTTCACCAAAATTTTTGCGTCCCCGGACCCCAGCCTGGAAGTTACACCTTCCTCTGGTAGACCAACTTGTGGATTTATTTACTGATGCCAAGTTTTTTTTTTCGCCGCTGCTTTTTTTCCCTGACCCTATATCCCTAACATTGCTCGTCGGGGAGGCGATGGCTTGGCTACGTAACACATTCCTAACCATCTCATCGATGTAGTTCACGACTTCGTCGTTGATTTTCCCTTTTCCTAGACTCTACGCCTAACCTCCATGTTGCTCACCCTATTATGCCACTTTACACGGGATATAGAAAGCAGGCACCTATGATCAAAAACAGCTAGTCTTTTTATGTCTTTCACTCTGAGTGGGCAGGTCTCACAACCATAAAGGAGGACGGAGCGGGCTGATGAGCAGTACACCCGCCCTTTGGTCGATAGTCGAACATCTCGTCTACGCCAGAGTCGGGTAAACTAACAAATGCGAAACGAGCCCCTTGTATTTGTGCTGAGATTTCGTCAGAGATCAGCCCGTTGGGGCTGATGGTACTTCCCCAATAAGTGAAGCGGTCAACGTGCTCTACCACTTCACTTTCTATTTCTAAACTAGGAGCCAGCGTAGTCCAGTCCTGTAACATCATCTTGCATTTGGCGGGAGCGAATCGCATGCCAAACATTCGTAGATTGCTGTTCAAGGTGTTTAGAAGACTCTGCATTTCGTCAGCGTCTTCGCCTAGAAGGACTATATCGTCTGCATATTCCAAGTCAACGAGATTATTCCCAGGTAGCAAGTCAATCCCTGAATCGCTGAAGTCACCTAGGGTTAAGTCCATTAACACATCTATGATGAAGTTGAATAGAAAAGGAGATAATGGGCATCCTTGACGGACACCACTGGTCGTCACCAGTTCAGATGACAGCTCGCCGTAAGCCCTCACCTGGCTGTATGAGTACGAATAGAGTGCCTTAATCAGTGCAATATATTTTCTTGGAATTCCCTTTACAGCCAAGCATCTCCAGAGAACTTCCCGATCGACAGAGTCGAATGCTGCCTTTAGGTCAAGAAATATAATGACTGTTGGACGCCGGTAGGAATGCCTATGTTCTAGAATCTGTCGGAGGGTGAAGATATGATCAATACACCCTCTTCCTGGTCTAAAGCCTGCCTGGCTCTCTCGTGTTTGTGCTTCCCGAGCACCACTCAGTCTACGCATGATTATTGAGCCTAAGACTTTAGATACTATATTAGTCAAGCTAATCCCTCTGTGATTATCACAGGAAGACTTGTCTCCCTTCTTGTATATGGGGATAATCAGTGACTTACATAGCTAGAATCAGTGACTCGGAACGTTATTGGATATGGACTCGAATCGTAATCAGTGGTGAACGTGCTGCAGTTTCCTTCTTTCTTCCGTTTCCAACGATAATTGACGAATGCTGTTTGAACTTGCCAAATATGACTGTTTTCCTTTCAGATGAAGTTCTTTATCCACTTTCTAGCTATGTTTTTACTCTTAGTCTATACTGTTTTATTGTTATTGTGTGCGGCGCATCTTCATGATGCCATATTGTATCAAGTTTTCTGTGTATAATTAAAATTTAAATAAATATCTGTGTGTGATAGTGAATGACGAAAAGATCACTTCTGAAGAAATATGAACACAAATTTAAAAGCTAATTTCACCGATGAACATTACACAATTTCTAGATAAACATTTTTTTATACTACAAGTTTACTTCGATTATAAATTAGTATCTGAAATGATTCTTACTACAAAAGGTCATTTTCGCTTTTATAGTTTTGACGTTATGCCTACTCTTTCTTTCTTTTTTTCATTCTTCATCATATTCATGTAAAATGCCAAATTTTTCGAAAAAAATATCTTAACACTTCATGTTCATGTTTATAGTTTCATTCTTTTCCTACGTCTTCTTCAAATACGTCATCATGTGAGTTAATACACTGAAGAATGAATTTATTTCTTCAAAGATTAATATATCAGCTCCGTTAAGAAAACTGAGAGATACTTAATACAATTTCGCCAATCTTTTTTCTTCAGAGACCCAGTTTAATACAAATTGTTTTAGGAAAGAATTTAAATACCCCCAAATAAGGAAAAAACACATTGATATAAAAGCATTTAGTTAAACTAAATATTTTTACGCTTTATTGAACTAGTTACCTAGCGTGATGTAATCATTCATGTTGAGTGTTTCTAGGTTCGTACCATATCACTTAGTCTTTAATTGATTGTAAAGCCAAAGAATACAACTTAAAATGGTATATACTGCTAATGTGAATAGCCATCATTCGAACAACCCTTTAAGTTATTCAGTCAACTTACTCTGAACTTCACTTAAATTTAAGAAGCCTAAGTACTTGAGCTTATGCTCTCATGGAAAATGTCGTAATACTGTGGCGAGAGTTGGCTATCAGCCAAAATTGGTAGACAGTAATTTACGTCAATGTTTACGTCCCCAATATTGGTCATGAGGAAAATAAGAACAAAGACTGACTCAACAACCAATCACGGCACACTTTGCGTAGGTGGATACAATTTTCGGATAGATAATCTGAACTTCAAAAAACGGCCACAAAGCGGTGAAAGGTTAACGCTCAGCGAAAAACCCCCAATCAGAAGACTGCGTTTATTTGCTTACAATAATCTATAATAATGTACATGAAAATCTATGAATATCTGTTGATTTCGTAAATAAATGATCTGTTGTAACAATACAACACAAACACTATATAGTGAAAAGAAAACTATCTCACGAAAGACTTTTAAAATATACATATATGCTTACCTGTTTCATAACTTATCTCTGGAATGCTTGAGTGAGTTTGCTGTTCATCTAATTTACGTAAAATCAACTCCTCCTCACTTCCACCACGACCAGAATCGCATGTCTGCTCCTCACCTGTCACAATATCTTCAACACCTAAGTTTCCCTGTTCGCCTGTCGTCATACAACTTTTAAATGTGCCAAATTTAGGCACTGCTGTATCCAGTCGACTGCCCTGATATCTTGTCAAGCCTTCATCTGCAACAGGATCCAGTAGATTTACTGGGGATAGCGTCGAATTCATGGAGTTGTTTGTGTGTGCGTCATCAGTCTTCGTCGTTTCTTCTGAACCCTGTGCAAATAGAATACACAAATAGAGATATCTTCGGTACTTTTCAAGGGAAATAATTAATGAATCATTTTCGAAATATTTATCTTGAAAACATTACAGTAACTTCGATCCAGACTTTGTTGAGGACATTCATGAATAGACAACTATTCATATCGGCCCACTGTGTTAAACAGAATGGTGAATTAGGCATTACTCCACCTAGGTATATGTGTATCGTAAATGTGTAATTGGGAATTGATAAGCATGGTAAGCATTCTTCACTACCTGAACTTATTCTATAACTGACTATAAATCATCCCATCTTATAGAATCGAAAAGTGACTGTTGATGTAGGACCTGTGAAATTTATATTGTAGAAATAAATTCAGATCACGAGACGCCGTTTTGTAAATGATGTCACCCGGGTAGATGAATTTTCTTGTGATTGAGGGAATATCTATTTTCTGAAGACAGCGGACAAGCTGGACTGATGGTCAGTGAAAAGAGGAAGTCTGGAGCTTAAGCTTCCTGGTTATTGACCCCTGATATTTTGCACAAATTTCATTTACAATATAGGGCTCTTCATATAGTAGTGCTATTTATATTAAATATGAACCAAAATCTGTTCAATTACCATGAGTAATTTGTCAGATCTGCGTTTTTGTCACAGACTGTGCTTAAGAAAATCTACGTTTCGATCTTTATTATATATTTAACTGACTAAACTCTATCTGTAGATTATTTCCTAGTCGCGTTGGTAGGTTCACATCTTTTGTATTCAGATATTGTGGCATTTACATGTCTGGTTTTCATCTGGACAATCGTGATTCTATGGGTCGGATAGGAGTAAACGTAAGGGGTCAGAACGAAATTCTGTCATGGAGAGAGTGGGCCACTCTTTTACGTAGGGAATGACATTCATACTGCTACTCTAGTCGACGTACCTTCGAAGTGGTTTGGCATTTTGAGGGTTTGACAGGGATTTCTGTGTGCTTGGTAGCTTAGTCTTAAAAACCAGGCGGGAGTATCCGTTGGTGAGAGTCTAGTACCCCTATGTTGAAAATTCTAAAGGTAGCTTGATTCGGACCTTTCGAGTGACCTGTGAGGGGACTACGGTCTAGACTAATTCCTCGAGGACAGTGGCCTCTAAGGCTTCGCGGGACTGCGGTCTGTTATGGGCTGCATCGCCTAGTAACTGAGAGTGAACAAAGTGTGGTCTTTAATTTGGTTGCGGTCTTTAAAACTGTCTACCAAGGTCACTAAAGGCATGGTAAGCGGCGTGAACTTCAGTTGCACGGGCAGACAAGAATCAGGGTTCCACCCATGATTCAGTAGAAGCAGCGCAATCGCTGGATGTAACAGCCTACGGTCCAGGATACCGGGTATCTGAACACCAGGTAATCACTTGTGTATCTTCATCCTGAGAGGGAGTGTGTGATAATTGCCCTGACAAGATGAAACATTCGGGCAACTGGCACCTCGGGTGTGGATCCAAGACTTATCAAACAGACCCTACTGCTTGGCCGGAAACAGAAAGTGCCACCAGGGGGTATCGTTGACGTCCTCGATATTCCCGACAGGCTTGTTGCAGGAGTGTCCAACTCATGAGGGTCGTTACGATACTAGGTGTTTTGAATTTTTAGGACTTCTTTGGGTGTTGTCGTGACCCCCTGGGATGGGCTATTAATGTATCATCTGAGATGCAACTAGTGAGAAAGTTGAAGCCGGACAGTGGGGGTGGGGATAACACTAACAAATATGCGGGCATGTTAAAAGGATGCCCATTATCCCTTTTTCATGACCAAACAGCGTTCTAAGATGTTTTCTGCTCCGACAAGATTCCGAATCAGGAGGGAGATAAAGAAGAGAAATGAAGCATTCCCTTCTCCATCTGAGGCTTGGCTCAAAAATTAAAGTAAAGTATGATAACTACATCAGATTGACGTTTGTTTGCCTGTATGTTCGGTATCTTCGAAAGCAAAGTCGTACACAACTATTCAGCCTTAAAATATCATGGATTCTCCACTAGCAATGGACACTATAAAAGGGCATCCAGATTTACAATTAAATACTTGGCAGATAAATACAAACTGATAGGCAGTATACAGTATTACTTAAATGTTATTTGTAAGCTGTTTTCTCTTTGAACACTACATTTCTTATCCTTTATATATTACTATCTATCCGAATTGCATTTGAGTAGATGAATCACCTTGTTGGAGTGTCATCTGATTAATTTTAGTCTTTCGAACGATTCTAACAAACTGAAGCAAATAATTAGAATTCAATTGGTGGATGATACCTTCATACCTTTGATTTATTTCATCAACTATTTTTATAGTACAATTTGCCTACTGATTAAATAAATAGTAGCCTACTTTGATAAGCGAAATTTTATCCTCCAAAATCTTTAACAACTAGTTGAACTCAATAAACATAATATAAAACATATTATATGAAAATAAAAATAAAATGTAATTCTCTTCTTACCATTTGATCTGCATTAAAGTTACATATAACTCTGGATACAAGTGGTATTGGTTTAGCAATATAAAATTCATTAGTTGTGTCAAGTTTTGGTGTAACTGAATTACTAGAGTAAACAATACCAGATAATTTATTAGCTCGTGGTAAGGAAATTTTATCATTCATTTCACTCATTCCATCAGAACCTATTTGTGAATTGAAGACTCGTACGGAGACAGACTGATCATTCATTCTAGACGAAGGAGATATGCTGATAGAGGTTGACTCCATTGAGGTATGTATATCATGAAGATTGTGATGAATCAGGTTTTCATAGTTAGTTTGTAATATTCCATTATTCGTCATTTTCTTGTATTTTGAATTCAAATAATCAGTTGGAATGAAAGTAGAAGAAAAGAAAAGAAAAACCCAATTAAATCCCTACAAACCAACACTTGAATATGAGATGCTCACTGGCGACTGGTCCTATTCAGGTAGGTAGTGGGAAGCCGTGACCAGTAGGGTACAGCAGGTTGAAGATGAGGCAGTAACTCATCGAAGAAGACACTGAGAAATGGTGGCGCTGTGTCTTGAATTGGGAGAAGTTAGAATTCATGGGCCATTGGATCTGGTCCCAGTTATTCAATGGTCTACGACGTTGTCTTGTAACCAGTAGGTCCTGGGTTCGAACCCCGGTTGGTGCGTACTGATGAAGAGTCCCAAGCTAGAATGAAACATTTGTCCAATACTCCCAGGTTTTCCAGTGGTTTTCCAACTCATCTCAGCTCATGATGAAATCCTGTAACCAATCAGATCCCTACAAACCGACACTTGAAAAGTAGAAATATTCAGTCACAACACAGGTTTGAATTTTACACTGAATTGAAAGTAATAATAAGAATACTTTCACATTAGGAAATAAATAATGACCATCTTTGTTTTCATATCATTTATCTACAAACAAATCTTGTCATCATATTTATTTACTAAACACTGATGCTAAAGTGGCTTTAATTAAATATTCCATATATTACATTCATTAGTTTAAATAGATAAACAGTTTCACTTATTAACTTACATTATTATCGGTGTTAATCATGTGTCTTGGATTTATTAGAACGTCATGGTCGTTTGAATTACTATGTTCTAAGTCAACTGATGATGAGGTACCGTGAGAACAAGATATATTCCCGCAAGTGATCTCATTATTTCCATACTGATGCCTCCAGCTGTCAAAATGTCCATTTAATGGATCAAGAGGTCTATGAAACAAGGGATGATAAATATCAGTAGATGTTGTATAACCACGTTGCTCCATCCTTCCATTCATGAAAGTTTCACTTTCATTCATCAGTATTCCATTTGTTTCTGAACTTCCAGGATATGTAGGTGGTCGGTCTCTCAGTGCGTCATTTCTTCCGTTAACATTTCTATGTCTACGTCTATTCTTTGAGCATGGTTTTATAAAACAAATGATAGCTGTAATTAGTATAGTTGCCAAGATCGCTGATACGACTGATAAAACCGAAATGACCAGGATGTTTTTAGTCCCACCCACTGTCCAACCTGTCAGGTCCAATCCTGTTATATTGCTCATATAGTAACTGGAAGATAATAAATTATGTCCCATGGCTCCAGACGCTGGAATATCTTCCACAAGTATTGACAAAACCTGAAACATATGTTAAACAAACGAAGCTATCGTCATCGAGATTTCAAATGAGGACAATAATTTCAAATATAAAATTCTAGGACATACCTTTTGATCCATTTTCATTTTTGGGTGCCCACGGTCAGATGCAGTAACTTTAAAAAAGTGATATCCTAAATCTGTCGGTAGCATTTGGCGTAATACTACTAAATCTCCGTTCTCTGGATTAACTCTTATTAAAGGATTCGGTTTAATTTCATTTATTAACAGATCGTAGAATTCTTCAAGCAAATAAAACACAGAACCGTTTTCTCCAGCATCAGGATCTTCTGCATATAGTGCACAGATAACTTGTCCAGGTTTTTCGTGCACAGATAAACGAATTATGGGTTCTGGAAGTGTGAACTGTGCATTTTCAGCCTCGGGAATTATTCCTGGACTTGGGATAGGAGTATGGTACTCTGGATCACTGCGTTTTTGATTACCTTTTATTATGTTGTGATTTACTTCTTCTGAAGGTTGATCATAAAGCAGGACACCAGGATTCATGTGTCGTCTGTATTCTCGAAGCTGTGAGTTATCTAAAGCAAAAAACAATAAATTACTTTAACACCCGAGCTAAGGAGTATCATAGTTAAACTGTCAGTATGAACAAATGAAACAAAATTCTTAGAAAATCATATTCTGTTGATTAGCTGTCTGTGTAGATGTGTATCCATAGAGTGTAACAGGTTATTTAATTAGCTAAAATTTGCATTTGACAAACCAGATTCGTACTCAATGTCAGTGAAAAGTTTGTGCATTGTGGAACACATTAAAATAATTATAATTACACTTCCATAGTTTATACAGGATGACAAATTTTCGGTTATCATAGTAAATACAGTGTTCATGAGCCATTTGATGTTCACACTTTTGGGTTTGAAGGAGTTCGACCAATTTCCGTGTGAATTTTGAACCCGTGGTTAGATCATGTGTGTATAATGCTGATGAGTAACAAATCTATTGGTTTTTAGTTTTTAGTGATTCTATAAATAACATTGGTTCATGACGAAATCTACGGCAAAGTTAAACTATTTAGTTTTTAATTATGTATTCAGACAATCATCTATTTGAATAATCTTGTACTAAATTCATTTCTCTGATCTGAAGTCTCATTCTGAAGTAGCCTAAGTGCTAGGTAGTAAGAATTTGATCAGAAATTGAAGGTTCTTGATAGTTTTAAGTAGAACACTTAGACAAATATGGAGTTTCGAGTAACTGAGCTACTTTCCTTCAAATAAATTATATACGCAAGTCTTTGTAATTCAGATGTTTTCAGGTATTTACTTTTATCGATACATTCAACTCGAAAAACAAAAACTACTCGTAGATATAATGTTACAATAAAACTCTCAGGATGGATGTCATCCTACTGAATACCGTTGAGTGAAGCTATCATACCTACTAACTTTTACCATATTTTTGGCAGTAATTAATATATCTATACTTTCTGGTCTTCACAACAAGAACTGCTATTATTATTATTACTATTATATCCTTTAATTCCTAGAGGAACATAGGGCTTCAGCCAAACGTCTCCATTGCGTTCGGTTCTCTGCCAACGTTTTCACATGGCTCCAAGTCTGCCGACATGCTTTCATCTCCTCTTCACATGACCTTCTGCATGTCACCCTTGCACTGATGACCAACTCGCCGCTTCCCTTTCGGGTTCCACTCGAGCAATGTCTTGTCTAGTGATGTCACTTGATGGTTGGTTTCCTCAGAGTATGGCCAATCCATCTCCATTTCTTCTTGCCTATTTGTTTCACGATCGGTTCCTGCTGGGTTGGTTCACTCATTGCCAGAGATCCCTGTGGCTGATCTTTCTGGCCGGCCATCTGATCTTGAGTAGTATTTAGCCAAGACAGCTGTTGATGAAGGTCTGTAGTTTGTTTGAGATGCTGTTTATGACGCGCTGGCCAAGTCTCTGACCCGTAAAGTAGCACTGACTTCACATTGGAGTTGAAAATCCGGATGTTATTTTTGATGCTGAGTGCTGTTGACCTCCACACAGACTTAAGAGTAATAGTAACAGATACGAATATTCCTGAAATTGGATATGCTAAAATTCTGAAATTGAATCTCTGAAAGAACAGGAAGCTTCAATTCCTTTATTCTGAAATAATAACTAATTAGCAGTAAAATCTTCCTATTTGTGTTACTGAATTCATAAAAGCGGATTGAAGTTAAAAAATCATTGAATTTTGGATACATCAATCAGAGGTATATATACTGCGTGAAACCTGACATAAGATTATACCATTTTACCTGGTCACAGCTAATACCACCACAAGAATACAAAACCAGTCAAAGTTGAGACGATGACAAGTTTGAAAGAATCAAGAATGCATGACAAGTACTGAAACAAATGTTCAGGCCTTAAATAAAGACAAGGAATAAATACGCTTCCATCAGTGATTTATTTCAAACTGTCAACTTTGTTGTTTCTGTCATTAAGAGAAATTTAGCTCTATAATGGGTATCTACTATACAAATGGGACTAATAGATAATAAGTTCATGAACTCCCAATAAATATTTATTGAATCATAGTCTACCTTTTAATTTGTGGATAGTGACTAGCAGTGGAATCGAGGATAAAGCACATTTCGTCCTGTTTGGGACTCGTCATCTGGATGTGCCTGCATTTCCCAGTGAGTGATGATGTTCCCACCGAGACTCGAACTGGGAAATGCAGGTACATCCAGATGACAAGTCCCAAGTAGGACGAATTGCGCATCCTGGATTCCACTGTTAGTCACCATCCACAAATTAAATTCTAATTAAATGCCCACACATCGTCGAAGCATCTGCACAAGAAGCCAAAAGACATGTCAACCTGAGACCGAACACTTCGGTCCAATCAATCGACGGGAAAATCTCAAGTTCAATTAAAATAGTCTACCTTTATTTTTAGTATTTCTACTCCATCCAACACAGTATATGAAGAATGCTTACCCCGTCTACCTCAATCAACTTAGGTGTACACTTTATTAAAATAATGATGCTTCTTCTTGAGAAATTAGTTTCAAAAGCTTTAGCTTAATCTTTTAATCAAATGCAAATACTTTGCAGAAACAAAAAAACTGTACATCAAGCAAATTCAGCAGTTTTGTTACATAGATGACACGTTTACAGTATGTTTATTCTTATATCACCAACCAAATAGATCTGGCTGTACAGTACAAAAAGTAAAGGATTAAAGACAATAGTAGAATCACGCCCACAACTCACCCAAGGATTTATAGTGGCAACTTAGACTTCGCCGTTATTTGTTGTGAATGTATCCTACATATACAGTCAGTCAGCTGAAATAAAACAAAACAGCTGAATCTCTCTCTGTGTCACAAACTTGGCGTGATACTTTTGTTTATGATTATACCTACGTTCTAACATGGAATATTATTCGAAATCTGAGCAAATAGTTGGTACTTTCGTCTGAGGAAACGAAGGCTAGCTCAATTATAGACAACAGTTATAGTGTATGAAGTTAGTATGAAAAGATAAAAGTGCAATTTCAATGTATAAAGAAGATAAGGAAAGCGTAGGAAATGATAGATAGATAGATAGATGGTTGCCAGGACTAAAAGGCTGTATGCATATTGCTGGGGGAAAAAAACGAAAGATGTTAACAGTTTCCACCTCAGAAATTCATGAAACTTAATAGGGTTTTTTTCATGCATTTAACAGCAGAAATGAATCGGTATAACCTGATTATAGATCTTAGAGTAAACTTTGCTTAGCTTGTTACGTAGGTAGCGTCTTTTGGGGAGCTTTTTTTTACTTCTTTAAAGTGGATTGCTACTTCTAAACAGGAGGTTATGATGATAAAGTGAAATCCATAGTTTCAGAATTTTTCTTATCCATTCTCTTTTAATGAGAATTCTGTTGGATTTCTAGCAATTCGATGATAATACAAAAAGCCATTTAAGCAATAAGCCAATGAGCACTTCATTATTATTCAGCATTAAGATTTTATTAAACCAATATTTTTGAATCGGCTAAAGAAGCTGGTGACATTCAGTAAACCAATTTGAACAGAGTGGTTAGAATAAAAGGAGATAGAGATAAACAAATGTTCTACAACTTACTAGGCGATAATAATCCTTGAGGCTTTAAAAGCTGTGGTCGATTGTCATTAACATCCAGAACAATAATACCAATATTTCCTGTCGTCGACAGTGGTTCATCAGGTGACTTGTCACTTACAACTACGGTAAGGCGATAATGATCCTGAAAATTAATGAAAAAAATTATTTCATTTTTTAAAAAATACTCTGTATTCAGCTTTCGTTAATTGGTTTACTAGTAACTCTGTATGATTACGGTTAACAGATTCATTTTCAGCGTATATGTCCCTGATAATTAAAGCTTTTTTTACTCGTTTATGTTCGCAGGGAAACATTGGGCTTCAGGCTACAAGACTGAAGTTTCTGTAGGATGGTGCTGCTAGCCTTATGCTCAACCTTCCCTCTTTACCGGTCTTATTACTGACGTAGCGAGGTGAAGCAGTGCGTCGGCTGGGGATCAAACCCCGGACCAAATGCATCGTTGGCGAGCACTCTACCGCTGTGCCACCGACACATGATAACTATAGTTATTGATACTGAATGGTGAAACGTCGGCAAAAACAGTATCACATTTTGTTTTTCATCTTTTGGAAGATACAGAATTCTTTTACGATAAGGATTATATAGATGTGGATGTGATACAATCGATTTGGCCCAGTAACAGAGTCAGTGAGGAATTACCTACATAAACAAATAGTAAATGGCAGACATTCTACAGAACACAATTTTCGTGACTCAGTAGTCTTCTGGTTTTGATGGTAACTTGTGTTGTTTTCAAATCTCACTAAGATGCCAGTAGATTCAGCTGGTGAGATTCAAAGAGGACAAAACGAAGGTACTGAGTGTGACTTATAGTGTCCATCGAAGTAACAGGTTCTGAATACTTAATAATAGCTCGTCGACATTTGAGTTTTATTCAGAACCACCTAGTATTTTCCCATCTTGAAGAACACCTAGTCTTCTACATGAAACAATAAATTTTGCTTTGTTTCGCATAAGATTTAGTTATTGTCAATTGTCTGATGTGATCTGAATTGTTAGATGGTTGGAGGCAATCGGCAGAAAGCCCTGGGCCTAGGTTTTGCGCTTGCCGGCACTTGTCAGCAAGACGCGTTTGCACTTTTGAAGGAGCTCATGTCCCATCTGAGATTCTTACTTGGTTGAAAGAATTTAGTCTGCACCAAAAAAGGACTAGTGCATGAAATTAATAGCTACTTAGTATCTGATCAAAGTGTTTCGAATTCATTCTAACGAGACATTTTTAAACATTACGTATATATATTTTAAAATGATCCATTGTTATTGAATACCCAAATATAAACTGTGCAATTGGCCTCAGTGTGACCCTACTTTTACTACTATTACTACTATTAATGATATTATTAATAATAATAATAATCGATAAATAAATAATTAGATTATCAAAACCACACAGTGAATACACAACAAACCTTTTCTTCCCTATCCAACTCAGCATTTGTGTAAAGTGAACCATTTGTCAGGAGTTTGAACCTTTCATGAAGATGAAACACTGGATCTGGAAGTAGATCGAATTTCAACTCGGCATTTAATCCTTCATCTTTGTCGAATGCCAGGATATCACCTACATATGTGTTTGTTGGCATGTTCTCTTGAACAATAAATATATTTTTCATTCCAAAACGTCCAATAGGTAAATCATTTGTTTGTAAAAGAGATTCATCAGTTTCATATGAAGCTAGTAGTGGACTGTGATCATTTACATCCAATACAGTTATATTGATTAAAACAGAAGAGGATAAACGAGGCTTCCCATGGTCTGTTGCTATAGCCGTTACCTGAAACAATTAAATATACTTTATCTATAGTTATGTGAATTTTGGTATAATATTGTAATTAGTATTTTAATATATTTTTGTGTGTTGAAGTTTCTGTAGGAGTTTGGTTAAGTTTTGGGGGTGGAGTTGCAAAAACCGACAAACTGGTCGAAGAAGCAGGTAGTGAAGACAAGACGCAGGTTATGAAAATAACCAACCAACAACAACAGAACCAACATCCAGCGCCAATCACCATCAACGGGAGGGATTTGAAAGAGGTTAGTGACTTCATTCACTTATCATCTAGGGAGGGAGAATTGCCTCAACTACAGACAGTCGGAACGGACGACGATGTCAAATCGAGCGAGAATCGGGGAGGCGAGTGAGAAACACATTCATCAACCAACCTGAAACAACCAATCTGGAAATCCTCGTCACTCAACTCAGCCACAATCAACAACAAAATTCGGTCGGATTCAATTCAATACAAACAACGCCAAGTCAGCCAGTCAGTCAGTTCTTCTATACGGAATGGATCAGAAACTTGGCTTCACAAAGAATATTTCCAACAGCCTGTTGCAGACGCTACCTTTATCAACCAACAATTATCTGTCTTCGATGGATCTATACTGAAGATCAGATGGCCGGGTCGGAATCAATCACCAACAAGAAACTATGGCTGGGAACAAACAAAACAAAACAAGAACCAATCGCCAACCAACATATATGCAGGAGATTGTGGATGGTGATGGATTGGACACTCGCTCGGTGAGGAGGCCGGTTGGTGATATCACGCGCGCATCAGGCCATTGGTCGAGTGGAACTGGGCCGAAAGGGAGGCGGCGGCGAGTGGGACGTCAGTGCAAGGGTGACATGGAGGAGATGGTGTGAAGAGGGGTTGAAAGAGTATGGACTAACTAACATGGATGCGGGTGAAAAGTAGAGCAGAGGACAGAAGCAAGTGGAGAAGTGCAGTTGAAGCCCACTGCCGTATGTTCCACTAGGAACCCAAGGGAATAATAATAATAATTCTCATTAGTATTACTGTGTGTAAATCTTTATTTGATTAAAGGTGCCCATTAGAATTTTCCAAAGACTGATTACTGAACAAAGAATATTCTTTTCGGTGACTTCATCATCAGGTTCTACAGTTAAATATACATAATAATGAAAAAATAACTGTTATTGACAATATTAGTGTTGTCATTGTTATGGATATGTGACTGTAGAGCCTGATGATGAAATTATCAAAAAGAATATTCTTTGTTCATAATTCAATCTTTTCAAAATCTCTATTTATTTGTCCACACACGACATGCTTTGTAGGATAGTGATTCGATTAATGAAATATCAAACATAAGTTTATTAAATTATTCAACGTTTGTAAGTGATTCCAGCGCACTAGATTTGGAGTTCCAAGGTTTTGATATCACTCAAACAATCTGAGCCGTGCAGAATGCTTTCAGGTAATAGAGTCAATTCTACATGAGTGCTATGGTAGCACAGCGGTTATGACTCTCGCCAACCATGCACATGGTCTGGGGTTCAATCCCCAGACGCAGACGCACTCCTGATATCAATGGTCGGCCAGCAAAATTTGGACTACCGATATCACATGCTGAAAATTCCATACCCGTACCAAAACTACGGTGTGGAATCAAGGTATAATCAAAAAAATTAATTTAAAAAATGAGTCTTCAAATCATATCATTAATTTGATTAAACCAGCATAAGTTTGCTGGAATTATGGTAAAGGTATGGTATTCGCTGTAACACTTCTTCTATAGTGTAGAAAATGGATAGGATTACCAAGTAATACAACACTAAATTCTGTGTTAGAGTATTGATTCTGTTAAGATTATTGCGTCAAAGAAAATTGTCAATCAGTTTAGTATTTCACAGAATGTATAACCATCCCGTGTATAAATATATCTGCAAAGGTCTAGTGTTACCTTGTTTTACCAATATTAAGACGTAAGCAGTCACCCATGTGTCTTTATAGAATCAATTTACTTTCAATCTGAATAAGTTGTTAAATTTAGTAAAGTTTTATCAGTGCTGCTCCTCCGAATTTAAATATTACTGTCAGATTTTGCATTGTAGTCATGAACTAATTGATTTTCTGTCATTCATTGAACTCTGTTAGACAATAGTACACTTTATATTCACTTAAGTTTCTCTGAAGCCTAAATCATTGCTGCTAAGATTTGTAGGAAGGGAACTAAATTCCTTAAAGCCATACCAACAATACACTTTCAAATGAAGGAAAGGGGTAAAAATTTATAGTTTCGTAGATGGAGGTGAATTTGAATTATGTAAATGTATCTGCAGTAGGTGTGCATCGGCGGCATAGCGGTTAGGACGCTCGCCAACCATGCACATGCTCCGGGGTTCGATCACCGGCCACCCACGCACTCCTTTACCTCGCTAAGCCAGAAATAATGCTGGTAAAGAGGTAAGGTTGGGCATGAGGCTAGCAATCCCATCCTGTAAAATAAACGTGCCTCGGTGGCATAGTGGTTAGGACTCTCGCCGACCATGAACATGGTCCGAGGTTCGATCCCCTGCCGACACACACCTGATATCTATGGTCGGCCTGCGAAATTTGGGCTACCGATATCCATGCTGAAAATTGCATACTTGTACCAAAAATACAGTGTGGAATCAAGCTGTAATAAAAAATAAAAACACTGCTACAAAAACTTCAAGCTACTAGTTTGAAGCCCTATGTTCCACTGGGGAACGTGAAGGTAAAAAAAATCTTCAGTAGGTTACACAACCTACATGGTCACTGCTTTGATTTCCATTGTTAAGTAAATGTATTATCCACTTCAGAACAGGACTTCGTATTGAATGGACAGCTTTCATCGTTTTTGTTGACTTGTACAGATTTTTCCGCATCACCTTCAATAACTTGCTGTTATTATTGGTGGTATTAGTATTTCCACCCTCCAAGAGATTCTCTGTTTATACTTACAACAGATATCAACAACTTTTGTAAATAGATCAACAATAATTTGCAATTTATTCAATTCAGAATTTGTATGCTAGATGTTTTACTTAAAGTATATTCAGTACTACAAAATTGTAGTGAATAATTGTAACAGCATATCTGTTAAAAGATATGTATATCAGCATAAAATTACTATCCTGTAAATGATTATGCAAGGTGTATAAATGCGCCTAAATTTTATTACAGTAAATTTCGAATTAATTTAACCATTGTAGAGTCAATGTTCTGCTTCCATTAATATTATCAACAAAATATAAATTCATATTTCAGGTTTCTAGGTGTCTTAACTAATTTCACTGTAAATTTGGTTTTTTTTCCTTCACGCGTTCCCCAGTGGAACATAGGGCTTCAAGCTAGTAGCTTGAAGTTTCTGTAGCAATATTTATTTTACAGGATGGGGTCTCTAGACTCATGCCCAACATTTCCTCTTTACCAGGATTATTTCTGGCTTAACGAGGTAAAGAAGTGCGTTGGTGGCCGGTGATCGAACCCCAGAGCATGTGCATGGTTGGCAAGCGTTCTAACCGCTATGCCACTGACGCACGTAAATTTGGTTACGAATCAACAATAAAAAAAGAATCACTGAGAACTGATGGTTATGGAGTATATATGTCCAAACCAAGTTCACTTTTAATAGTTTGAAAAAATTTGAGCATTGGCTATATAATATTCACCTCTTAACTCTTTGTGCTTAGATTTTGTAAATTCTGGTTTAATAATACTTTGATAATGCTATTAGCATTAAATAGTGAAACGTCAGTAAAAACATTATCGTTCTGTTTTACATTCATTGGGAAATACAAGAAAACCTTTATTATGATGAAGGTCATAGAACTGATGATTCGTCCTAATTTGGGACTCTTCACCACATCGAGTGACTCATAGGTGACTGAATAGTAAATGTGATTCACTCGTAATCTGAAATTCATAGGTCCTATCCCTCTTGGAGTGGCTGGTGCGTGCTACTGAAAAATCCTAAATCAGGGCGAAACACCTCCAGTTCCCTTCAATATACATTGTCTCTCTGAATGATATTGTTTCACGAAGAAATTTATACTGAAAACATATACTGGTTGTGATTAATTACATTTCGATGAAGTAATCAGTTGTCACTTTGTATTTCCAATGATAATTTCCAATGTTGAATAAATCATTAAGTTAGATATTTAAAATTACACTTTAAATACACTAAATGTGGTGACTATTCTGTGTAAATTCGACTCTTTGTGCTTATCACAACAATCGGCTTGATTCACTTAACAACTATGTTAAGAGGGAACTATAAAGTGACTAAGTCATTCCTATCATGCTATATGAATGCCATTCCAGTTTAATTTCACATTATGATGTAATCTTTTATGTTGTCTTTCATTCACAGTCCCGTGTTTACTATTATTATTATTATTATTATTATTAATTTTAAATAATAATGGATTGTGTCAAAATTGCACAGATCAAAGAGTTAAGCACACACACACACACAGTCAGTAGTAAGATGTCACTTATCAAAATATTTGTCATGATGCATCGTCAAGGTTTTATGGAGGGAGAGAGAGAAAAAGCACGACAAATCGTAGCTATTTGTTTTTCACTTAAAATAACATAAATAACTTAGAAAACAAAACAACATGGCAACTGTGTTTGTTTTCTTTTGTCGTACTTTTTAAGGTGTTATAAGATGTTTTTATTAAACATCTAACAATAAAAAATTTATCATTTAATAAGTTGCTAACCAAAAATCATCAGCCTACTTCTATTCGTTAAAAAAAAAGACACAATCTATTGCACAATGGAATGGCTTCTATAGTGGTTTTTAGTCACTAATAGATATCACATTGAAGGAATGCAATAGATAGTTTATCTACCTATCATACGAATGTATGCAGATGTCATGGTCATAGTTTCCTATAGTTTGGTTTTGTAAGGGTTAGTTAAGTTTTTACGAATTGGTAGAAGTTAGAATTCACGAGCCAGTGAATCGGTCCCAGTGGCTGAATGGTATACGAGCTCGCTGGCCTTGTAACCGGAACGTCCTTGGTTTGAACCCTGGCGGTGGGTGCGTACTGCCGATGATTCCCAAACTAGTGGGATGAAACAGCAGCTGTCCAGTACTCCAGTGCTGGTTTTCAATGGTTATCTAACTGATATAAATCCGTGATCAACTCGTAAAACCATAGTCATAGTTAAAATATTTTTTAAAGCTTTTAGCTCCTATTCTGATGCGATAAAACTTAAGGATAAGGTTAAACAAACGAGGTATCCCAGTGCTGTGCTTTTCAGTTCAAAATTAATGAAGCAAAATTGTCCTAATACCTCTAGTTTGTAATTTCTATGCCTTTGTTATATAATATGTTAATTAGTTTCGACTGAAAAAAGCCTTTAATCGTCAGAAAGTATTTATTTATTAAACTGACTAGTCTGTTCGTTTCTTACTTATAACTTTCGGATTTGCTACTTTCAGCAGCATTGAATGATGCAAATCTATCTGAATCTTTTATGAAGGCTCCGAAAAACAAGCTTAAGTATAACCTGTTGTTGTATGAACATACAACAACAGACTTATTGTATCATTATTAGTATTATTCCCTTGCATTCCAAATGGAACATAGGGCTTCAACAACAACACATCTCCACTTTGTTCTGTTTTCTGCCGTCCTCTTCATCTGACTCCACGATTGATCAAACTCTCTCATCTCCTCCTTGTCACACGATCTCCTTCATATCAGCCTCGCACCGACGACCCACTCGTCGCTTCCCAACGGGATTCCCCTCGACCGATGGCCTTCATTGCGTGCGATGTCATTCGGTGGCCTCCTCAATGTATTCCTGATCCATCTCCACTTTCTCCTACATATTTGTTGAGCAATCGGCTCTTGGTTAGTTTTTTCCACTGCAGAGTTTCTTGTCGCTTATTCTTTCTGGCCATTTGACCTTCAGTATGCAGCGAAGGCAATCCATGAATGGAGAATTCAAATGAGTTCATTTTATACTAAAACCTGTCCTGAAGATGTTATCTAGAAGGACGAAAAAAGCTTCGCAGTTAAATCAACCCACTCAGAGAACACAACTAATTCAATATCATCCACCTGATCTACAAATTTTCTCCATTATGTAATCTACTGTTCCTTCTAATCTTCAACAAAAACTAATCCGAAGTCACAAATTACTTTTTTTTTAATTGTTTCACTTCTCACCTGAATGTAATGTGTTTGCTACAGAATATGATTTCGAAATCTAGGTGTATAAAATAATTAAAATAAAAGTGAATTAAGACTCTAACTCTCAAGTTTTATCACTTTTTCAAATTTTACTTCATAGAAGCGGTTCATTAAAGTGAAAATTTGCTTTGATTAATTGGTAGGTTTAATCAGTCCTGTGCGTCGGTGGCGCAGCGGTTAGGATGCTCGCCGACCATGCTTATGGTCCGGGGTTCGATCACCGGCCACCGACACACTCCTTTACCTCGCTAAGCCAGAAGTAAAAGCTGGTGAAGAGGAAAGGTTGGGCATGGGGCAAGCAACCCCATCCTGTAAAATTAAACACTGCTACAGAAACTTCAAGTCACTAGCTTGAAGCCCTATGTTCCACTGGGAATGTGAAGAAAAAATTATAATTAATCAGTCCTACTCTTTACATTTCTGGAGTGATTTTTTTCCTTCACGTTCCCCAGTGGAACATTGGGCTACAAGCTAGTGGCTTCAAGTTTCTGTAGCAGTGTTTATTTTACAGGATGGGGTTACTAGCCTCATGCCAAACCTTTCCTCTTTACCAGTCTCATTACTGGTTTAGTGAGGTAAAGGAGTGCGTCGGTGGCCGGGGATCGAACCCCGGACCATGTGCATAGTCGGTGAGAGTCCTAACCGCTATACCACCAACGATACAACTGACTTTTTAAGGACATTGCATCTGTTTTTCTTGAAAAAGATATCTTACTCACTTCTCAGAGAGTAAATGTACCACTGATTAGGGAATAGTCTGGGACTCATCGTCAGTACGCATCCACTGCCAGGGTTCGAGCTCACAACCCTCCACTTACAAGACAACTTCGGAGAACATCCAGCCATTGGGACCCGACTCAGTGGCCAGCCCATGAATTCTCACTTCTACTAATTCGTGATTTTAGTATGACTGGCACCAATCACTGTCATCGGCGGGTGTTTATCCCCCCTCCCTACCGGGTTGACCCCACTCGCCATGTCTTCTCACTAGGACTACAAGCAACTCTGTTCTCCAGCCAGTCACTGGCGAGCAACTCATTAATCTCCAAGAGTTTGTTTGTAGGAAGTTGATTTGTTACAAGTAAACAAACAAATAATAATACAACGAAATATGTTCATCTATTCTAATAGACAAAGTTAAGCTAATTTCAGTTTTTTTCTAGAAATATACTCTTTAAATTGAAAACAAAATTATATTAATCCAGATTTTGGTAGCGGTGATGATGTACAAATACTCTAAATGCAGTTTGTTAACTCTATTCACTTATTTGATAAGAACGTCCTAAATCAAAAATGTAAAAGCCACAAATAAGCATAGCTATTCCACATAAACTTGCGCTTCATTGTATAATACCTTAATTTAACAAACTACTAAATGACCTAAGCATACTGTTATGTAGACTGTTTTAATAAATCTGAAAATCACTTACCTGGTATGAATCACGTGTCTCCCGGTCAAACATCAGATTTGGAGTAATCCAACCTGTTAAAGCATCTATTTTGAAATTAGCCCTGTCCAACAAAGAGTAGGTAATTCTTGCATTCTCACCTTCATCATCATCATGAGCACTTATCTGCCGAAAATAGAAATAATATAAAATTTTTGACAGTATGCAGTAGGCAGGCGAAAACACTTCTCTAACTGAAAACATAAACACATTCGACTAATCTACGGATGACTAATATATATATTAGCATAAAGATCACATTTTATTGAAACAATGTAATCTTTGTGAAGATATTCTGGCATATTTTTGCAGAAATGAATATAATTTTCATAAATCTACTAATAAGTCATCTGAAATAATCATCTTGTGTTATTTAAGACTCCCTTCTCCTTAGTGATGGATTCTTTAGTTACAGAAAAGTATCTGTACACAACTTCTGAGTGGTAGGCATTTTTGTCAGTGGAGAAAAATGTAGTTTATATAGCTTCATTTCTTTAATGTTCAATTAGTACTTTGTTATATTTCTAATAATAGTTGGCATTGGTGGGTCGGTGGCACAGAGGTTAGGACGCCCGCCGACCATGCACATGGTCCGGGGTTCGATCACCGGCCACAGACGCACTCCTTTACCTCGCTAAGCCAGAAATAATGCTGGTAAAGAGGTAAGGTTGGGCATGGGGCTAGCAACCCCATCCTGTAAAAATAAAAACACTGCTACAGAAACTTCAAGCCACTATCTTGTAGCCCTATGTTCCACTGGGAATGTGAAGGAAAAATTCTTATTTATTATTGGTGGGTCGGTAGTGCCCAACCTGTTCTAAGTGACGTCAGATAGATACATCACCCAACTCAGTAAATGATCTTCCCACTGAGATTCACATACAGCTACCGACTTTTAATGATCTCGTAAAATTTCATTATTCCTTAAAACCTAATTATTTATGTCATTCGTGTTAAAGTGTTTAATCCGGTCTAAACAATAGCATCTTGTAATGCTTCAATTATGATAGAACCATATGCAATGAGTTATCTTATTGAAAGGAATCAATAGTTCTGATAGCAGAATCGCTTTATCAGTATCTAAACAGATTTAAAATCATCCCTTTGAATAATAGTAATAATAATAATATAAACGCTTCTTTACAGTTCACCCAAAGACAATATATTAATCGACCACAACTGTGTGGAGTTTGGAACAGTACGATTGTACAGTTTTTTGTTAGATGTTAAAAATGGAAACATTGTAAAAATAACTTCGGAGTACAACCTGAAACACAAAGTGTTGCTTTTCGCTTCTTCTTCTTCTTCTTCTTTTCACTGGTCCATACTGTCTGCTTGCTTCATTACTACTAAACGTGTTGTATCCTTTGGATTTTCGCAGGAATCTCTCGTCCTCATCAGAAGACTATTTATTCCACAACCTATGTACACCATTGAACTCTTCTGTGGATTATATTGATAATTTGTAGCAGAGGACTCTAACTGTATCATCAAGTAACTAACAATTTCTATAACTTGTTAACTGTCCCCTACAAGTGTAATGAAATTTCTCGTATTTGTCAATGTTTCATTGTGAAGAAAAAATAGCAGTTAAAAAAGTTATGACAAAGGATGCTAAAGGTAAGTTGATTTTATGTGACTTACTTGAACAACTTTTTCTCCAATTTGATTATTCTCTTGAATCGATACATGATAAACAGAATTTTCGAAAACTGGTCCATGATCATTTATATCCCGAATGGTTAAGGTCACTGTCATAGTTGAAGTCAAACGAACACCACTAACAGAATTATGTGAACCTATCCGACCAGTATTTGAACCACCATCTGAACAGATCAGATGAATAATTAAATGACCTGGAATAGGATTTTCAGGATCTTCTCTGTCAAGCATTATTCGAGTAGATAAATCGTAAGCTTGTGCTGTAGGATTTACAGTTGGATCAGGTGAGAATTGCAGTGCTTGACGACGAACCAATCCCGGTGGTTCTGAACACTCTACTAGGCCATTTACACTAGGACTGTCTGGATCACGAATCCGTACCTGTATTAGGAGAGTGGGAAGTAAAATCATGTATGATTATGATATCTATTGAATACTCTACCATTTGCTAAGCATAGCGTGTTTTCAATCACAGATTATTTTTAAAAAAGTCAAATTTATCTGATCTGGCTAACAAATAAGGAGAAATTAGGTGCAAACTCAAGGCATAATTCCGTTTTAATTTTCGTCAATATTTTCATACAAAGAAATCACTAGCAATATATTATATTCACAATATATTACGGAAGACAGTAATAACAATACACCTAATAATAATACAATACATCTAATAGTACTACATCTAATAATAGTATTACAATACATCTAATATCATCCAATCAATGTGCACCTACCTAGAATGGTGGCCACATTACAAACCTGACTGGTAGAATTCAGTCTGCACCAAAGTAAGGACTAGGCACATCACACTAGTTACTATTGTCCAATCAAAAATTCACCGTAAAGTCCTACTGGAGGTCAATCGTGAGCCCGAACAGTTCAGTGGTAACGTCTCTGACTGCAGCACTGGGTGATGCGGGTTCGAATCTCAGAGGGGTGGGACATGAGTTCCTTCAAAGTTGCAGATACGCCTTGCTGATGAGTGCCAACTAGCTTGGTACCTAGGTGTTCAAGGCTTCCTATGGCCGATCGCATCCAACCATCTAACAATACACCTCATTACTAATTATAAACTAAAATGAAGTTTTCAGATGTTTTTGTTTATAGTTTTAGTAATTCTTTTAGAGAATGCAGTTTATGACAAGCCTTCAAAGTCAATATTTATTTGATAATAGTTAAATGTTAGAAGTAACACTAGGATACATGTTTCCCAAGGGCTGAAATGAGATTGACATTTCACAAACAGCTGGCTGAAATAACTGCCTTGTAAGCAGATTGTGAATATTTCAAATAGTAATGACTGCTCATCATCACGGATGATTTATGTTTGATGTCACACAAAATTCAAGACTTACAAGCGAAAACCGACAAACTGGTCGAAGAAGCAGGTAGTGAAGACAAGACTCCAGGTGAACATAGACAAGACGCAGGTTATGAAAATAACCAACCAACAACAACAACAACATCCAGCGCCAATCACCATCAACGGGAGGGATTTGAAATAGGTTAGTGACTTCACTCACTTCTCATCTAGGGAGGGAGAATTGTCTCAACTACAGACAGTCGGAACAGACGAGGATGTCAAATCGAGCGAGAATCGGGAAGGCGAGTGAGAAACACATTCATCAACCAACCTGAAACAACCAATCTGGAAATCTTCGTCACTCAGCCACCATCAACAACAAAAGTCCGTTGGATTCAATTCAATACAAACAACGCCAAGTCAGCCAGTCAGTCAGTCAGTTCTTCTATGCGGATCGGATGAGAAACTTGGCGGGCGGGCGGGTCACAAAGAATATTTCCAACAGCCTGTTGCAGACGCTACCTTTATCAACCAACAACTATCTGTCTTCGATGGATCTATACTGAAGATCAGATGGCCGGGCCGGGTCGGGTCGGGTCGGGTCGGAAAGAATCAATCGCCAACAAGAAACTATGGCCGGGAATAAACAAGACAAAACAAGAACCAATCGCCAACCAACAAATATGCAGGAGATTGTGGATGGTGATGGATTGGACACTCGCTCGCTGAGGAGGCCGGTTGGTGATATCACGCGCGCATCAGGCCATTGGTCGAGTGGAATTAGGCCGAAAGGGAGGCGGCGAGTGGGACGTCAGTGCAAGTGTGACATGGAGGAGATGGTGTGAAGAGGAGTTGAAAGAGTATGGACTAACTAACATGGATGCAGGTGAAAAGTACATCAGAAGACAGAAGTGGCAAGTGGAGACGTGCAGTTGAAGCCCTATGTTCCACTAGGGACTCAAGAGAACAATAATAATGATTGCTCATCAACCAAAATGCTTATAAAACGAGAGGAATATACGAAATTATGTTCATAATCTTTATAATTTCTTAGTTACCGATTTAGCTATGAGTGTAGCATATATGCAGAACTTGTTGATTTTCTCTAATCATCGTTAATTATCAACCATTATTAATTCTTCCTTACCCTTTATTAAAGAAAGTAGAATGTTACAGTTTTTAATAAATATGAATAGCGATTGCAGTAGAAAAAATGATGAAGATAGAAATACAATCAGGAAAGGTAATTAATGATTCACATCAAATTTATCCACATGAAACTGATATCGTATAAACAGTTCGACTGTACAGTTTAATCAGTGCTTTACTGGACCAGCAGGTTGGTTCTATCAATACATAGCATATAAAGGGTCACTAGTGTATGCACTTTGGCTTGTTTTCAATTGCATCTTCGCATCATAATGAAGAATAAATAAAATGAAGTGGTTAGCCAAACACTGAACTTACCTGTCCAATTAATTTGCCTGGTAAAGAATTTTCATCTGCAACTAATTGTTTTGGATTTAGTTCAAATGCTGGAGGTTCATCGTTTACATCAACTACTTGAACATTTAGTGTAGTACGTGAAGAAAATTCACCATCAGTAACTTCAATTGGAATAGAATAGATCTGTCGTAATTCATAGTCCAAACTACTACGTAGTCGAACATGTCCATCAGATTCAATATGAAATGTAGTGGACATTACATGATATTCTAATGAAGAAGCCATGGTGTAGGTTAATTGTGATGTACTGTCTGGATCATAAGCAACAAGCTAAATAACATAAAAAAGTAGGGACTGAATTATCACAAATGGTGTGAATGGCAATCATTACATTTTAAATGTACACCTAATTTTCACTTAATTGAACATTAAATTCAGAATAGTTCTGGGCTATTTTGAAATTTTTATCTGTCTTGCAGAAATATCTCATTATTTTACAAAATTAATTAGTTTACTTTAATATGTCAGTATGAAAAGAAACAACAAAACTTGAATTCGAAAAGTTTATTTCCATACACTTGATTGACATCCATGTGTACAGAAAGACTTCCAGGCTGGGGTCCTCGGGACGGTAAAAATCTATGGTTGGAAACAATTGGTGACATGGCTCAAAACTGTTCTCAGTGGCGCAGATGCATCCACTCCCTGTGACTTATGATCTTCAATGAAACTGTTTTGTATTTCTTTATTACCCCTCCTTTGTCTCACACCTCTGCTCACTGTTTCTATTATGCTTTTCTTGTACTTTCTTCTCTTGCTTCGCGTGCTACACGGAATGTGGCGATTTGAACTGCCGCACATTTGTGCAAAGTTCTACGTCGAAAACAGACAGACAGACAGACAGTACAGAAAGAATCAAGTTAACTGTGAACATTATATGACAGAAGACGTACAGAAGTGAACATTTATCTAAGGATATAATCAGCTCTTGAAGGCCTGCTTAAAACTAAGGCTACCGAAAAACTCCATTAATTTATTGCGCATAATTTCTCTTATTCAATTTGTTTAAATCTAATAAGATATGACCTATAATAGTATTGTTTACCTTGGCGGGTAATTAAAACATTTACAGCCTACTGATTCACAAGTTTCTACTAAACATATGAATAAGCATTAACGTCGATGGTAGTTTATTCTAATACATGAAATGACCCTTCTTGGGTTCTGTCCTTGGTTGGCATGCAACAAAATGTCGTGTATTTCTCGAATGAGGAAAAGAAAAGACATCATTATGAATTGTTCTGGGCTTCAGGTCAGATAGAACTGTGTCACACGATCTACTGTCGATTATTCTTTTATTTGAAGATCCTGATCAAAGTGACAATATCATACAATCAACTCTGCTCAAAATTCTCTACATAACACTGTTCAGAATTAAAGCCATCATTATTAGTGATAAGACGTGAAACAATATCTGAAATTAACATTCCTTCTTCATTAGTACAGCGGTGTGTTTCTCTCGTTATTTCAATTCCTCTACTGCATTATGTCCAACTTTCTAACATGCAGTTATATGATACACAGTTATCTAGTTCAAAATTAAATCTATAAAAAAACAGCCACTGAGTAAAATTTAATGTTACTGACTTCGAAGAAGATATCTGTTAAATTGCCTATATTAGAATGCACAGACACATTATTATGACTGTTTACATTTACTGAAACATTTAGTGATTTAAAGAAGTGAGGTCCTGAAATGGATAAATGTAATCTCAGATTTAGGAAACAATAATGATGTAATTTACAATCAGAATCGGAAAGGCAAGATACGCCTTCATCAACCTGACACCAGTTTGGAAATCTTCTGCACTCAGTGAGCATAAGGAACAAAATTCGCATTTTCAATACCAATGTTAAGTCGGTCAGTGCCTCTATGAAGGTCAGAAACTTGCACTGCGTGTCACCAAAAGGATTTCCAACAGGCCTCTGCAGACTTTCATCAACAGCTGCCCCCTTCGCTCAATACTGAATATCAAACAGCAGGTCAGAAAGAATAAGCGACAAGAAACTCTGCAGTGGAAAAATATAACCAAGAGCCGATTGCTCAACAAATATGTAGGAGAAAGGGGAGATGGATCGGGCACACATTGAGGAGTCCGCCAAATGACATCGCGTGCAATGAAGGCCATCGGTCGAGGGGAATCCTGTTGGGAAGCGACGAGTGGGTCGTCGGTGCGAGGCTGATATGAAGGAGATCGTGTGACAAGGAGGAGATGAGAGAGTTTAGTCAATCGTGGACCCAGCTGAAGAGGACGGCAGAAAACAGAACAAAGTGGAGATGTGTTGTTGTTGAAGCCCTATGTTCCATTTGGAATGCAAGGGAATAATACTAATAATGATACAATAAGTCTGTTGTTGTATGTTCATACAACAACAGGTTATACTTAAGCTTGTTTTTCGGAGCCTTCATAAAAGATTCAGATAGATTTGCATCATTCAATGCTGCTGAAAGTAGCAAATCCGAAAGTTATAAGTAAGAAACGAATAGACTAGTCAGTTTAATAAATAAATACTTTCTGACGATTAAAGGCTTTTTCAGTCGAAACTAATTAACATAGCTGAAATAATCAGTAATAGCACAGTATCACAGAGATTATTTTTCTGATAAGACCACACAGTATAGAACACCTAATTCAGAGAAGTTATTTGTGAGTTTATACAGTCTGAATACTGCAAATGAAGATAATTAAAGTAGTTATAATAGAGGGATGCACTGTAATGATGGTAATCAATCTTATATGTTAATCATTCTGACCACCAAAGTACAGTTCATGGGACTCTCATGAGGCCTAAAAGACATGAATCGTAAAGGGTCTTGCCTTAATAAAAGAACTACTATGAAATATCATCGGGACAATTCCTCAATTTTACTAAATTGATACTATTATCTAGTCTATGCTAAGATTATGCACAATGAGTGATGAAATCAAATGAGGAACATCGTGTCAGAAGATATCAAAAAGTTTTTACGAGTTGACCACAGATTGATATCAGTTAGAGAACTATTGAAAACCAGGGAGTACTGGACCAGTGAGGTTCAATTAGATGTCACGTGTGTGGATGGATGTCTCACCAATGACAATGGTTGGGGGGGGGCGCTAAATCGCTAATTGGTAGAAATTAGAATTCATGGACTGGCCATTGATTGAATCAAGTCCCAGTGGCTGAATGGTATACGAGCTCGCTGGTCTTGTAACCGGAAGGTCCCGGGTTCGAATTCCAGCGGGTGTGTACTGCCGATGAGTCCCGAACAAGGACGAAACAGCAGCTGTCCAGTACTCCAGTGCTGGTTTTCAATGGTTCTCTAACTGATATCAAACCGTGGTCAACTCGTAAAAACATAACTAACACTTACAAACTAAACTATAGGATATCAAAAAGTGTATTAAAAGCTTTGTGATACCAATAGCTAAATGAGCTACTATGAAATGTTTTGTAGAAATCAAATTCTGGCAAACTCGATTCACAATATGAATAGAAATGAGAAAAAATCAGACTAAACAGTCAGAATGGTGTTAAGGATTCACGGAAGTTGGGAATAACCCCTGATAATTACACCTAAATAACACTATGACTATCATGTGGGTTTCTTAGCTGATTTGATAGAACTGCCAAGAGACTGTTGGTTCCAAACATGCCGCGAACTATAATCGGGCTTCCCTTACAATCATTCACCATAATATGGATTGAAAAACACACACTTCATTTTGGTTGGTTCATAAAAAATCTCTCTCCCTCTCCTCAGATTAATATTTCGCTACATATTCTAAACGGAGAATAATAAATAGTGTGGTCAAATAGGATGATTTTTCCGTCTATGTTTATAATATGCCCTAACCTGACCACCTGAGTCTAGGTTATTTTTTCTGTAGAACAAGTGACCAATGATGTTACTATTTTTGTCTAACTAGAACGACAAACAGATAAGAATGCCAAAGGTATGGTCGTCTAATTCCCGCCTATTAAATACATACGTGAAATAAATTAAGCGCTAAAAGCAACAATGTTAGCTTAAAAAAAAGGTAGTCGTTAGAATAAATCGCGGTTGCACCGATCTAGATAGTGAACAAATATTTTTTTTCAAGTATTGGTTTGTAGGGATTTGGTTGATTGGTTACAGGATTTCATCATGAGCTGACATTGGTTAGAGAGCCATTGGAAAACTTGGGAGTACTGGACAGCTGTTTCGCCCTAGTTTGGGACTCTTCAGCAGTACGTACCCCCTGGGGTTCGAACCAAGTGGTCCCAGTGGCTTAATGGTCTACGAGCTCGCCTTGAAACCAGAAGGTCCTGCGTTCGAACCCTGGCGGTGGGTGCGTACTGATGAAGACGTGTGTCGGTGGTACAGATGCTAGGACGCTCGCCAAGCATGCACGTGGTCCGGGGTTCGATCCCCGGCCGACGAACTCCTTTACCTCGCTAAGCCAACAGTGAGACTGGTAAAGCGGAAGGGTTGGGCATGAGGCTAGCAACCCCATCCTGTAAAAATAATCACCACTGCTACAGAAACTTCAAGCATCTAGCTTGGAGCCCTATGTTCCACCGGGAGCGTGAAGGTGACGTCGTCTCTAACCAATGTCAGCTCATGATGAAATCCTGTAACCAAATGTTTTTTTTCTGGACTACGACATTATAAACCTTGACTACATGGTCTATAAATATGCATTGGTAATTCAAATGGGTTCATTTTAAGTGATAGTTTGACAAGTTTGAACTCTGTTATCTTAAACGATGAATCTTAGTTATACAGACATATACAGGTTATGAATTACTAAATATCTTTAACAACATTAACACTTATCAAGTCTGATCACAAAATAACTTCGGTTAGAGAACCATTGAGAATTAGGTAGTAGAGAACAGTTGCTTCGTCATTGTTCGGAACTCCTTACACTACACACCGATTAACCTCAGCAAGAGTAGAACCCAGGATCTTGAGTTCTCAAGGAGAGCACGTTCACCATTCATCCACTGGTGGCTGACTACAATGTGAAGTTGCCTCAAGTTCTATCGGGAAGTCATAACTGGTGGAGTCCACCAAGTCGGGTGTAAGAACAGATACTTACCGACGACATCAGCTGGCGATCATGTTAAACATCGTTATTTGGTAGAAGTTAGAAATGATGGGTCATTGGATTCCGTCGAATTAACTGAATGATAAAAATATGCTTGCCCCTTGTTGGTATCATGGGTGCGTACTACTGAAACGTCGCGAGCAAGGACAAAACAGCTGTCAGGTACTTCCTAGTTTTCAGTGGTTCTCTAACTGA